CCCCACCCAAAAAAAAACCACCAAAGACCTCACTTTCTATAAATCTCAACAATGTCAGCATCTTGACATCCGAGCTCAAGCAATGATGAATTCTCCACTTTCAATTGGTAATGACTATCATTCAATCAACTGCCCCAAACTACCTTGTTGACAACAGGAACTCTCTATATGTCTTTTCGGACAGATTTCATTCCAATACATACAACTATAAGTACTATGCCTCAATCCCAAATTAGTTGGTGTCTGCTATATGAATTCTCACTAGCCATGTTACTTCATTTAAACTCATCTCATTCCAATACAAATAAAAAGTATTAGAATTTCTGTGTATTTTCTAAACACAAAAATCTCCAAAAGGCTAAACCACTCCTAAAGAGCACAAGACCTATGGTTAAGTGCCAATTTCTATTTCATTGGGGTTCTCTAAACTAAAGAGTCTATACTCACACTTATCCCTATATTACATAACGCAAACTATAACAACAATGATTATGCCTTGATAAACCAAATGAAATATCAGTAAATTACCTGAGCCTCTGCCAGTTTATCAGAAGATTCACTAGACTTATTATCACCTGCAGTTAAAACAATCGACGGAAGCCTATTAATATCCCATCCAAAAACTTGGCAAATGACCTGACCGTAAGCCCTATGAGCTCGCCTCGTGTTCGCGTTGGCTATAGTAATCGAATGTTGAACAAGAGCCACACAATCCTTAAACCTCTTCATCCACCCTTTCTTACCAACCCCACAACACACAAGACAACTAAATTCCCCACCACTCTCTTTGTTCTTCTCATAGTACTTTCTCAATACATCATCTTCCCTAAACAATTTCGCGAAAAAGTTGTAATCTTTATCCCCATCATCAGCCTCATCATCATTGTCACTATCATTATCATCATCCTCATCATTAGTTGAGTACTTTAAGTATTCAGATACAGCTTTCAAAGCATGTTGATGGGCTTGATTCGAGGCGAAATGGGACAATTCTTGGGAAGTAGGCAAATGGGGTTGGACATTTAACTGGGTTGTGAAAGTGGGCCAACCCGAATCCGTTATTACAGGGGTTTCAGTTGGGGTTTTTGGACAAGGCCATTCAATACCAGAATCTGTAATTGCTTCTTTGAGCTTTTTGGATTTTTTCTTCTGTTTCTTAAATTGGGTTGAACTGGAGGGTTGTAGACTCACTGGTGTTGGTGTTGGAGTAGGGGTTGGGATAGGGGGGT